ATTTGTAAAACTCCTATTTTCCTTAATGTCCACCCACCTGTAAAATGAAAAGCCTTATCAAATATAGGAGATCAATAAAACAATGTGTGGGACCACCCTAAACAAGTGAAGTATTTGGTTGCAACAGGAAGTATGGAACGGTCTGTTTCTGTTTCTCATTCTCACCCAGGGCATATGGCCAAATCCCTTGATCAGCTTGATTAGCAGCCATTCACAGTCACATCATGCATAGAAATATAGCTAGTTTAAAGATACTCAGAAGTGAAAATTTTCCAGGAACTTTGAAGTCTTGCCCATGAGATATATAAAGAAGATCTGAACAGCAGAAAACATTTTCATGCTGAAAATTCAAGCCTTGTTCTTTCTGTATTGGCCAGACATTGTAGTCTTGGCTGGAGAATCTATGTATGTACAAAATGGGCAGCTCTAGTTCATTGTAAAATTTATTGGAGCCAGCACCTCTGTGTGGCAGAGTCTGGGATGAGAGACCTTTGTGCTCAAGGAACTTTCTTTTCCATAGCTGGCACTATGTAGCGGGGTGGGGAAGGTTTCATATAAGGCTCAAAGACAAAGTGAAATAATCATCTCAGTCAATAGCCATTAACAACCTACAGTATCACAGAAGCACCATGCAAATAAACGAAGTGAGTATATAATTGCCTTTCTGAGATTTTATCATTGTTTTAATAACGCTTCTTTTTAAGAAGGGCTATAAGATCAGATGGAATAAAGTGTTCTTTTTCTTGAAGATCCATTATCATATTTGCAATTCCAGTTCAGTTATATGGTGAAAAATCTTGCAACATGCCTTGTGACAGAGAGTTCCAAGCCTAGCTGTTTTAGAGTTGTCTGTCAAGGCCATGCTTTTCTCCCTAAGATATATAAAGCCTGGCATTCATTCTCCTATTATTTAATGCTGTGCTTAAAAGAAGAAGCAGGTCGGAAGAGCCTTATTAATGTCAAGACAGTAATGCTAATTGCACTCTTCTTATTTCTTTGGTTTCCCCTCCCCTCTGTAATTATATTGTGAAACAAAAATTGAATATTCCCATTGATTATGAAATATGGTGCCTAAAAGCATTTAGTTCATCTCAAATGGAAAAGGCAGAGTATTGCCAAAAGGGGGATATATTGTCTCCCATATGTTGCCAACCAACCTCCAAAATTTCTGCTTTCAACCTATACAACCTTAAATGACTCAAGCCCATTATATTTACAATCATGAATTCTCCCATAGGCCCTTCTGTGTTCAGTTAGCTTGTTTATTCATTCATTCATTTGTTTGTATAGTTATTTTTAAAATCACTTTCTAAACCACTTAATATTTTAAAATCTCTAAGTGAATTTTAAAATACAACATAAAAACACTAAAATGATATCCTAAAATCAGAGGTACAAACATATGTTCACTAAAATGGTACCATAAAACCAGACAAGGACAGACGTTCAGAGCAGTCTTATGGCTTAGAGAAAGACTAGGCAAAAAGATGTCTTCTGACGAGATGACTGAAGCAATGAATGAATGATGCTTCACATACAGGAATTCCCATCAACCCTGACCATTGGCCATGTTCACTGAGGCTGATGGGAGCTTCAGTCCAGCATCTGGATTGGCTACCTTGGTCTTGGTTCTTAACATTCCCCTCTACCTGATGTTTCTGTGCTCCTAGGCTGACTGAACTTCCAGCTGTGGCATCTGCTGGGTCCACAGCTACTCTGTATCCCGACCTCTCTTCCTTCTCCAAATGAAGACAGATCTCCACTACAGTTCACTACCCCACTACCCCAAACCTTAGTGATGAGGTGCAGGATGAAATTAAAAAGAACGAACTCCTAGTGAAAGCCTAATATTTAACATTGAAATGCAGTTACAACTTCAGTTTATCAAGGAACTATTACCACAAACATTATCTAGTGTATTCTGGAGGTGCTTTGGGCAGATTGAGCTCACTAAATTCTCCTAAACTCATGACAAAAATATTAATCATCAAACCTTATCAATGTAATGTGTGAATTCTAGACAGTTTCGCACACTGTGAATTAACAGTGAAATCATGCGCATGTTTCCTTAGATGCCATGGCTTTCCAGTAGCAGCAAAACTGGATGCCCTCATCTTTCTCTCCTTCAATAAAACATGTATCAGTCTCTACAGCCACAGTGGGTGTTGTAACTCTCTAATGGTTTGACTTTACTCTTGAAGGCGCAATCTCCCACTGTTTCCCAAGACAGATGCATCCCAACAACAAAAATTCCTTAGTAACTACATTTCAGATTATAGTGTTATAGCCAATGGTGTACTCCCAATCAAAAGTCATTGTCTTTGCTCAGTCATGCAATGGAAAGGGCTTGTACATGGGGCACTTAAAAGAAAGCTCAGAATCTTTCTTCTGAGAAGGTATCACCTTCCCATATTGCGACTGACACTCTAGAGTGAATTGCAGAAGCATTCCCATTGTACTTTGCCATTTTGATTTGGAAAAAACTTCTTGAATTAGGGTGATCCCATTTTTATGGTAGGTTGCTGGATACAAATTTCACAGGATCCAAGTGGAATGTTTCTTTCCTGTTGCTGGCATCCACATCCTAAAATATTCACCTGTCTCCCTACCTGCAAAACTATCTTGCAACATGAAGATGTATAGGATCTTTCCCATTTACCTGCTGGTGCAGCAAGCCTTAGGACTGGGCCGTTGGTCAGGCCAAGGTCCAACAGGAAGCTGGAACAATTTGGATTGATTCAGAGTCTTAGGCAGCTTTAAAGAAACATAGAAAAATACTGTACATGTAATTTGATTAGATTTGGATGTTTAATGGGTCATATTTAACTTGTCAACCCAAGCACTATGGTGCTGATGTAGAAACTGAAGTGAAAACAAAGTGTTATTTTGCTTTGGTTTTATTTTTAAAGGTTTGAATGCTTGCATTATACAAAATCCTGCATACAACATTTATAATTTTTGTAGTTTATTTTTACTGATATTGAAAACAGCTATAGAGAGAGTGCACATGTACATGTTGGTGTGTAATACACGTATATAAATTGCCATAGCCACACTCTCTATTTAAAATGTCATGGGGTTTATTACAGCTATAAACATCTAATGGCTGAGTATTGAATACACGGTTGTTTATTAAATCCGGCAAGATTTAATTAAACAATTCTTCTGCTTTAAATATAACATTTTCTCATTTTCTGTAATCTTAGAAGGGATTTTCATTGTTCTCTTTTAAACCTTTGAAATTTCCATCAGTTTCCCTTTCAAAATTCCATGTGCTGAGAAATTGTAGCGGGGGCGGGGGGGGTGACATGACAAGCAGGTAATTAAATAAATGTTTTGAAATATCCTTGTTATGGAAGAACTCCATTCAGTTCATGTCTTGGAATATGTCTTTTGATTCCAATACAACGAAGAAAGTGTAATTAAGAAAGAAAGAGAGTTGCCCCAGATAAGTAAATCAATAATAATAATAATAAATCACCACCAAATTGATTTCCTCTCTTGGGATTTGTTTTTCTCTTAGATTCATGAGTATGGTTATTATCAGACCTGGAAAGCTCTTTCTCTATTCAAATTAAGCATCACATCATTAGAGATTCCTAGATAAAAGAACACACTACATCTGCACACATCTGCATTCTCAGCATCACATTACTGTGGTATACCAAGCGACTGCAATGTGTACTCCTCTTCTGCAAGGAGCAGTGTTAAATTATCACCTAAATACAAAACATATCTTTGGTTCAAACCCACTATCAATGCCATGCTTTTACCCACAAGGTTTATGACATGTATCCAACCTACCAATTTTGTACTGTTTCATGGCTAAATGAGTGGAGTACGTTTAATGCATGCGACGCAATATTCAAAACAGTGGCTGCTCTTTATTATTTCTTGCTTTAGATCTGAATGATTATCACCGGTATCCTCATTTTTGTGATCCTTCTGGATCAGAACCTTTTCTGTTAACCACCTGGTGCTGTGATGCTCTGCTCTAAACGGATTAATTTGACACAAACAGCATAACACTGCATACCCTTAACCTCAAGTGACTATAAGGTAAAATGGGAAATGGTATTTAGTCCTAACAAATGCATTGTCCTCTAATTTCTCAGGGCCCTTAGGCTTTCATTAACCCATCCCATCTTCAAAGCAATAAAAGGTCCATTTCTTTTTCTAAATGCCATTCATAAAAACAAACAAAAACACCCTTCGTTCCATGAATAAATACACCCCCCTGCCAAGCCCATATTGGCATACAGTGAAAATTCTAATAATAAAGTACAGTAATAAAGAATATAGTGCAGGATGTAAGATCACAGTGTTTGGTAATCCATGTTGTACGAGTTCAATGGCATCTCATTTACATGTTGCTCATGTTTATGCAAGCTACTGGCAAATGCAGCAGTAGTGGCCATGGCAATCAGCTATACAGGAAAAGGCTGCAAATGGCAGCTACTGTCTACATAGTAATACATTTTTTCCATTTAGAACAAAAGCAGCAACCAAGATATACAAATATCTGGCAGGAAAACCCAGTACAATTTGCTTTAGGAGTGAAAACAAAAAAGAGAGAAACACATATTTTAACACACACACCCTCCTGATATGTTCAACCCAGCCTTCTTCTCCTTTTTTTTAAAAAAAAGGGGGGGGAGAAATGGCTTTTATGTTATAGGAATTCTGCTGGTGATGAAAACACCATACAGCCAATCAAACTGTGATGCTATAGAGCCATCCAAAGTAGAAGCCTAGCTAGTGTTTAAAATAACCCTGATGAATTATTCATTGAGAGTTGATGTTTATGCAAATTTCCGAAGCGTATGCCCACCTGACCGCCATGGGTTAATGATAGTAAGGGGGGGGGCAGAAACCCAAAACCATGCATACGAAAACCAAAACCTAAAGCAAACCACCAATCTTTAAGCATTCTCCAGAACCTATATAATCAAATGATAATACTCTTTCATTAAATACATAAAAAGAATTACAACCCTTACCTGCTTAGCTTTGTAGGGCCCTCAGATTTTCTGGATGAAATAACTGTGGTGCAACCAATAAAACTGAACTGAAAAGCTGATTAAGGGCACTTACTTAATGCAAAGCCACTCACTGAATATTCATATGATGCCTGTGTTTATGCAAATTAAGGCAAAAGAAAGCCCAAGGGGATTGGTTGCCATAGACCACAAATACTGTGTACAGCAGGAAGGGGGGGGGGCTGAGAGAGAGAGAATGGTAACAAATAAATCTTGAAATTCATAGCTCGGAAATAGCAATGTGGAGTAGAGTAAAATATTAGAAGTCTAACATGAATTACTGTTTTAAGGAGCTTTATCTAATCATATCATTTTAGGCCTATCAGATATTTGCCTGCCGTGCAGTAATCTATAATTATCATCATTCCAAGAGGTGCTGTCAGAAGTGTGTTCAGCGTTATTTATTCTGTAACTATTTATGTAAGCAAGGTCCTTAAGCATATCAAGTAGGAGAGGGGGGGAGAATCATAATTACAACAGAACTGCTGGTGTAAGTACAGTGGGAACAAAACCCATAGGCAAATGCCACCCTTTATTAAGGGTGACTTTTCAAGCAAAATGATCCTAAAAACTGGTGTGTCAGCGGGAGACTGCTGAGGAGGGATTTAGGTCTTGACTTTCTTAATTTGGATGCAAAGAATGCTTTGTTTCCGACGTGCCTTTATTTTCTTTGATGTCCCTAGCCTTCTGCACTGATACGTCGCTTCATTCCCCCCCCCCAATCCCATTCAAAGGGCTTTTCTAGAGAGGGGGAAAACTATTTATAGATTATGTTTGAAGGCTACACCAAAAATTCTGTCTTGTTCAGGGACAGACCGTATTTGCATATGTTCTTGTTAGTAGCCCCATGATGTTAATAACATTTGATACGTTTTCAAATTGGAATGCTGCGGTGTACCAGCTCGACTGCTTTTCTGATAGGCAAGAAATGTAAGATGACACAAAGTGTTCCTCCCCTTTAGATAATTGCTTATGACTTAGCCTTACCTTTTCCATTCCAGTCAATACAAAATTCAGATTTTGATTCGATGATCCCCATTAGGGGTAAGCCATTATTAAACCTGATCACTGTTATCGAAAACTTTGGGAGATTTCAGAAACTGATATGTGCATGGTTTGCTCCTCCTTTCCTGTTTGTGGGTACACAAATAGCATTAATATCCTCATTTCTCAATCATTAGTCAAATGCTATGTCTTATGGTCACTTAGAGATTATTGCACCAGCAAACAATTTCCTACTGAGAGCCAATAATGGTGGTATGATACCTACCGTATTTTTTGCTCTATAAGACGCACCAGACCATAAGACGCACCTAGTTTTTGGAGGAGGAAAGCAAGATATTCTAAATCTCAGAAGCGAGAACAAGAGGGATCGCTGCGCAGCAAACCCTCTTGCTGTTCTGGCTTCTGGGATAGCTGTGCAGCCTGCATTCGCTTCATAAGATGCACACACATTTCCCCTTACTTTTTAGGAGGGAAAAGTGAGTCTTATAGAGCAAAAAATACGGTATATTCTATTTTGCTACTTTTAAAACCTGCACATCTAGTTTCCAGTTATTTCTACTGCCATCTGTTGGCATCTGGCAACACTTCACAGAATTGTATGTACCTGGATGACTTCTATTCAAGGAAAAAGCAACTTTGGGAAGGGTGTTTACATTGAAAAAGTGGTAGAAGGGAATGTTTGACTATTCCAACTGCTGCCACTTTTCTGTTCCAAATCACTTTCAGTCAAGCTGCTTTCCCCCACCTGGTAGAGAGCCAGAAAATATGCTTCACCTCTTCAAATGGTACTGGAACCTCATAAAGGAGGGGGGAGCAGCAATTCACAAGTATCTCAGAAGAGCCCTACTGAATCAGACTACAATCTTATCTAGTCCAGTTCCCCCAAAGTGGCCAAACAGATGCCTCCTTGAAGCCCACACACCAGAAATGAGAGCAACAGCCCTCTCCTCCAGTTGTCTCCCAGAGGCTGTCAGTTTGCATTTCTTAGGTTCTTGGAAGGTTCTTGTTTGGGTTATTCCTTCTGAGAAGCTGAGTACAGATGGTTTAAACTGGTTCTGTTATCTTTCTGTCAAGCTCATGCTGGCTATAATAGTAAGGCCAGGAGGAGCCTGGGTTTTACTTACTTTCTCTTTCTATCTCTTTGTTTTGGTGTTCTGTTCTGTATGCTATAGTGTTAAGGTCTTATTATAAGTATTGTAAGTTTTATTATAAGTGCTGCAACTGGATTTTTATGCACTGTGCCAATCCTGATTGTGCTGGATTTGTGACCATTATGCTTATTTACCTTCAGTAGCAGTAAAGCTCTGCTGGATGAAGTACAATTGCCTCTGGTCTATTTTTTGGGAACTCTGCATCGTGTTTAAGTTTTTTCCACCCCAGAAGGGAGCAACAGAGACTGATATTGAGACATAGTGCCTCTGATCCTACAGATGACATATGGCCATCCTGACTAGTAGCTTGATAGGTATGAATAACTTTTTCATTTGACTGGTGGAAATTCATTGCAATTTCTGCAGCTACCCTTAGGACATAGCACACTTCTTTATAGACTGCAGGGGCAGACGAAGAAGCTTATATCTGCCCATGGTAGGGTTGCCATATGTCCTCTTTTCCCAGGACACATCCTCTTTTTCATGAGTAGAGTCACCATAGTGATCGATAGTTAAAAGTAGAACTCAGCAAATGTGTCCTCTTTTTTGCTCTCCAGAATATGGCAACCCTACCATGTATGTGTGATGATGAAGAAGAAAAACATAAGTGGGAGAAATAAGTGGAAGGGAATCATGGTGATCAAAGACAGAATAGAAGTGTGGACACAAGGGATGCATGCATAGCAAAAAATTAAAACACATTTAAACTGTGGATGGGTTTCCCTCATCCCCATATTGTCTCTCATTCAAAGCCACGCCCAACTTTCTATGACCCTCTCTAATCACTGTAAACAAGAAACAAAACAAGAAACACTGGCTGGAGATTAAGAGGCAGAGCTTTGGCTTCATGGTTATCAATGGCGGGGGCAACCAAGGTCAGTGAAGGAGCGAGCCAGAAGTAAATCACACCCAGCAAGTTGGAGTTAGTTCTTTATTAGCAAAAAGAGGACCTTCACACGAGTGTCAGCCCTCATGAGCACAGCAACTCATCTCCAGAAAGTTTTGCCCTCATGAAGCAGTTGCTGAGACAGAAGGTCCCTGTCTCCCTGCAGCTGCGTAAGTCCCCCATCTCCAAGGTCTTTCCCAAGCAATCTGAGACTGTGCTAACTTCTCCACACTCTTGATGAACATTTTGTATGTATGCACTTTTACATGAGATGTACACTTTTATGTAAAATGCATGTTTTTCAATGTGCGTAATTCAACTGGAAGTTGTGTTCCTATCTGCAAGCAAGTTGGGGATTGTCAAATCAGGCCACTCCAGTGCAAAAACTGCACCAGATGAATTCATCCTCTGCAGGTAGTGGCATCTACATATCCTGGAGAAGATCAAACACAGAGTTAAGTGTGCTTATTAGGCCCATACAGTTGAAGCAAACTATGCTGCTATGTTCAACTATGGCCCCTTTTTGAAATTACTGTGCAGCTCTAGCTCAGATGTTCAAATTCATTATTAACTGCAGAACTGAACCTTAAAACTACTTCCTCTTCAACTCGAAATTCTGTCATCATAAGACCATAATAGCCCTGCTGGATCAGATCAAAGGCCCATCTAGTCTAGTATTCTGTATTCCACAGTGACCAAGCAGATGCTGGTGGGAATCCAAAAAGCAAGACATGAGGACAATAGCCCTTTCCCATTAGTGTTTCCCAACAACTAATATTCAAAGGGACACTGCCTCTGACCTTGGAGGTAGCATATAGCTATTGCAATTGTTCTATTACCTCCCCATCTGACTCCACCACTCCAAAATATGTGTTTCATAAATTGTTGGTTTATAATGCTCGCATAAAATACACTGAAATGGCATCTGCCTCCAAAAATGAAACAGCTTTAAAGTTAAATAACACAGAGAGAGGCTGACAAAGTCTTACTACTTCAGTCCCAGTTTTAGCAAAGGTGTGTGTGTGTGTGTGTGTGTGTGTGTGTGTGTGTGACCTGAATGGGTGAAATATTTCTACAATATAGTCCTGTCAATCCCTCACCTTTCAAGACTCACTAAACCAATAAAGTAAATAATTTCAAAGAACCTGGGTGGGGGAGAGAATAACCTGATCCATAAATTGACTTCTTTGTTCCCTCAATTGACTAAGTGACACTTAAGTCATCTTTAAGTGCCTGGAAAAAAATAATAAAAGGCATTTCTTTTGTGCAGCTTATGAACAATTAGGCAATTGTAACACAAGGAATGGCAAAGTGGAAAATGCATGGCAACATTGTTTTCCATATCCATCATCTTGCATCTGTTTTAATTTTCTGCAATAACTGCTAGACACGGAATAGCACACACGATTTCTGCTTTGCTTCCTAATTTGGGAGTTAAAAGCAATTTGAATTTATACTGAGTAAATGTACAGCCTGAGGCAAAAGGAAGCCCATAGAAAGTAACATGTGTGATTTGAAAGGATACTATTATTTTATCTTATGCTGGTCTATGACCATAATAATGATTTGGATTGGATTGGATATTGTTTAAAGGTTTCTTTCGCTCAGCCTGCCCTCACCTTGATCATTCCTATAAGAGCCATCCAAAATCAAAAGGTCTTTTGTTTATCTTAATCAACATTCTGTGGACAATGGGGGAAATGTACAGTATTTGTTGCACAACAGGCACACGCAAAATATGTTAATGTTGTGCTAGGGAATATGTGATTGTCTGCTTAGTATGCACATATCTAGGGTGAACATGTATCCTCCTTTGCAGAGGACAATTCTTTACTTGAGGAAGCAGCCCTGTCTTTGAGGAGCTGTCTGGTCAAAGCCATGCTTAAACATTGAGAAGGGAGAGTAGAATAATTTTCTACATATAAGCAACAGATGAAGGATCAGAAGTTCTCTTTTTCACTTCTTTTCTTTCTCTCTTTTTCTTCATTTTGTTTTTTGTTTCTTTCTTTCTTTCTGATCTGTGTTTTTA